CAAAACTGAATGTACATTGGTTCTGTGCGAATTAACCAGCTGTCAAATGTTCTTAGTGCATTCTCTCTTATGGCCGACTGTTCTTTAAACATTATTGGCAGCATTTGACTGGGAAAAACACCTTATTATGGCCACTAGATGGTGCTGAGGATCACAGGAAATAAATACATCTTAGTAACAAGAGATACATTGTAACAATTATAGAGAAATGTAACCTTTGCTATAGAGCTGCAGCTAACGATTATTTTCAAAATCGATTAGTTAGCCGATTATTAAGTTCGATTAATCGGTTAATCGGATAAAAAATAAAATACATTTTAACCTCTTGCCGTCCGCCCGTAGTAAAAAAACGGACGGACGGCACTGCAAAATGAAAAGTGTAAAATTATGCAGCAATGAATGCATAATGGCATCGGCTATGGAGAAATACAAAACCCAGCAATTGTACATTGTACAGCACAATGCAGAATACCAACAGCTATAGAGGAATACAACAAATCCCAGCAATAGTACATTATAAATGGCGGTATTCTGCATTGCGCTATATAATGTACTATTGCTGGGTTTTGTAGTCCTCTATAGCTGGTGGTATTCTGCATTGCGCTGTATAATGTATTATTGCTTGGATTTGTAGTCCTCTATACAGCGCAATGCAGAATATCACAAACTATAGAGGAGTACAACAAATCCCAGCAATACATTATACACACAGTGTATAATGTGTGGAAGTGCAGGCTTACCTGAGCAGTCTTCCAGCAACTTGCTTCTGAGATCGGGCCTGGCTATCGGCGGCTGTCACCCCCCACCTGCTCCTCCTTACTCCTTCTCCCCGCGTCCCTGTGCCGATCGTGGATGTGGGTGAGCGTGAGGCGGGGAGGAGGTGCAGCGCGCAGCTTGTGTGGAGCCATGAACAGGGCCAACTAATCAGAGGGCGATTAATCAATGATTGAAAAAGTTGACAACTTTTTCAATCATCGATTATAATCGATTATGTCGATTAGTTGTGGCAGCCCTACTTTGCTACTACCGGGATATGGTTACATTTATCTGCCAATTGTCATCGATGGGAATTCACCCAACGTCATTGGTTGCTAGGACGCGGGCGGGAATGAAGCATCCTAGGTTGTTATGGTGCACCCACCTGCAATCCAGCAACCAACGACACTGCATGGCTCAGCTACCAGTCAACCAATGACACAGCATCATTGTTTGCTAGGACACAGATTGAGGTCTATCGGGCGCACAAACTGGCCCAATCATTCGGCCATTCGAAGAACTGCAAACAGCTTGGGTTTGGGACAAACTTATGGTTGACCTGAACCTGAAGCTCATCCCTAGTTATACCCTAGTTATAACCTCTGTCTGGGTTTTATTGCCTTCTGCGCTTTAGTTGTGGAGATTTTACTTCCCTTCCTGGTTTGCTGACCACACAGGAAAGTGTGAGGGGACACCGATATCAATAAAGACTTGAGAACGGTTATAACCCTCCTCGATACTACTTTAAAATCGCTCTTTCATCGATGTGTACGCTCCCATTGGAGAGATTTCGCTCACTTATTGCTTCGATGAGCACACAGAAGGAAAGAAGAATATAATAAAAGCTATAAAAATGTCACTGAGGTTCTATCCCTCCCTCACTCTATTAAAATTCAAAAAAATAAAAAAGTATTGCCTGGAGTTGACCTCTAAAGCCCAATCAGAGGTTAAAGTTTATTACTGTGATGCAGTCAGGATGAATTTACAGTACAATGAATGTTTCTCTTTTTTAATTACTTTGTTATAATATAATGAGCTAGTAGCAGACTGGAGAGTCAGCCCGCCGCTCAACACAGAGTGCAGTGGCCCGGGTCTCCATTCCCAACATGCTCCCTGCCCAGTGCTGCAATCAGTCTCTACTGCACTGGAAACCCAGGAAGTGTTGTCGGCCATGTCCATTTCCCATTTGGTATATATCACATTTTTATTTTTTACACTGCCCAAACACACTTTCAGCTATTGGACTTTCTGTATTTACATGTAATAGGTAGGCAGTAAAACCAGACAGATTATCTGTATTGTAGACCAGCAGCTCTGGATGTGCAGTTAGCACAGAGGCAATAAAGAAGGGATTTGAATGGCTCCATCCACAGTTCTTAAACCTCTTACTTGATGGATTTGTGATGGAAGTTGTACATGTGCTTACTGACTGGAGAATACAGGTACCAAAACTCACAAGGATCACCAAACCTGCGGCAAGGAACTGTCTGGATATGGGAATACTCACATGCGGTTGCTTGGAGGGATCTTCCTGCCATCTCTGAACCAGGTAACTTGTGGCTGGGGAAAACTGGCGATGATGGGGGCAACGATGACAGCTGCATCCCCTTGAGACACTGTCTGGGTGGTATCCCCTTCTTCGAAGTTGCTCATGTCTGAAAAGGAGAGAACGGGTGAGATTCAATGGAGAGAAGCCAATAACTCATCGAAAGTGCCAACTTTGTCATGTTTAAAAGGTATATTATATGGCCAAACACATCTATGAACTCGTTGGACATCCCATTCCACAACCATAGCTATTAATATGAAGTTGGCCCCCTTGTGGCAATAACATCCTACACTCTGGGAAAGCTTTCCGCAAGATTTCGGAGGGTGTCGGTGGGAATTTATTTCCATTTATGAGGTCAGGTAGTGATGCTGGATGAGAAGATCTGGCTCACAATTGGCATTCCAATTCATCCCAAAGGTGTTCAGTAGGGTTGAGGTCAGGGCTCTGTGCAAGACAAAGTGTCTCCACACCAAACAGGTCACACCATGTCTTTATGGAGCTGGCTTTGTACACAGCGGGCAGTCATGGTGGAACAGAAAAGGGTCTTCACCAAACTGCTTCTACTACCACAAGGCTGGAGGAGCACAATTCTGCTGTGGCCATTATGAAGCATTCCCAACATCCCTGATCTGTACACCAGCGGTGCCTATTATAAGGGGGCTCCTACCAACTCTCCATTGAGTTTCTGGGACTATATACCTGATGTGCCCATTATGAGGCGTTCCCAACATCCCTGGTCTATACACCAGCTGCGCCTATTATAAGGGGGCTCCTACCAACTCTCCATTGAGTTTCTGGGTCTATATACCGGCTGTGACTATTATGAGGGGCTCCCACCATCCCTCTGTTGAGTTCCTGGGTCTCTCTACATGCTGTGCCCATTATGAGGGATTCCCACCATCCCTCTGTTGAGTTCCTGGGTCTCTCTACACCTGCTGTGCCCATTATGAGGGGCTCCCACCATCCCTCTGTTGAGTTCCTGGGTCTCTGTACATGCTGTCCCCATTATGAGGGATTGTATATATCATTTATATTTTGGAGGATGTGAGGGAAGAAACCAGGACACAATAAGGTGGACGGGAACGACCAAAACAGAACGACCAAAACTCCTAGTTGTGCAGGAACAGAGCTGTGAATTATGGTAGGGAGGTCTCACTTTTGGAGCACCACAGGCCCATAAGAAGCCAGGGGCTGACTCAGCTCACCAGGCTCCACCTATAATGAAGTGTAACTTTCGGATGAGCTGACCCTTTATGTAATTCTGAAAAGTTTCCATGGCGGATTTTTTGGTTTAAAAAAAGGAATTTTCCTTCAATGAAGAGTCACGCTGCCCATCTCACTGGCAAGCTCGGAACACAGAAGCAGCCCTGGTGTAGAAATCCCACCAGCCCGTATCACTGCCCAGCTACTGTGCTCACATGAGAAACATTACACGTGAACCGTGATTACTGGCAGCTCATGACAGGACTTGGAGTGCAATAAACTCCGCTATTGCCAGGCCTGCCTATCCCTATAACAAGCAGAATGGTATCCACTGCGGAACTTTGTTGGAAGGACATGAAAAGAACTAATAAATACACACAGTGCTGTTAATTAGTGACATGCTGATAACGAGACGCAATATTTGCTAGATTTTATAGTATTATTGAAACTTCAGAAAGTACAGTGATAATATATTCAGCGTTCCATTTGCTTAGTGAAAATCAATTACTACCACTGCTAATTACAGGCATTAAAGCAGAACTGATGTTTGTTTTATTATATGGTGCGGCTGATATCCCTAAATGTAACCAATTATCATCGTTACCTCTGTAGGAGAGGAGATCGATCTGCAGACCCGGACCTGACTACCCTACTCGCTCTGAGAGTCTGGCCCCGCCCCCTGCCATCCTGATGACTGACAGCATTTGTCACAATGTTAAGTCGGCTCTTAACTGGAGGACGTTTAGTTTGCTAAAGAATTGTCTCTGTGCTGCCGATCTCCTGCAGCATCTTTCAGCCAATTCCTGTCTACATACACTCACTCTAGCGTCGGCTGCACGCCATTGCTCCTCCTGCGTGGTGTGCGTCAGCGTGGCTGCAGGGAGTTGTTGCAGTTGTCACCCTGCAACAGGAACTGCCTGAACAAGGACCTTCATGGCAGGATCACTGGGGATTATTTTAATGAAAGCTCCAGATTTTTTATGTAGAGAAAAATCCTCAAAATACATATGAAACTCAGACAGAAATCCCTAATAAGTGAGAGAGTCAATTTTGGTTTTAAGCCTAATTTTATTTTAAAAAATCCTTACAGTGGGGCTACCCCCTCACCCCCCCC